AGTAGTACTTGTATATATTAATTTGATCAGAATCGAGCTATGTTCCTTGGTAATAGTCAAATGTTTCTCAAAATACTTCTCTGTTAAAAATTATCAAATTTGTGGCTACTTTAGGTAGACCTATTTAGAAGAACAGAAATACAAGTTCAAGATGCTGATATGAAATCAAGTTGTTGCATAACATCTGAGGCCTGGTACGCATGTTCTTGGCCTGTCACAGATGCAAATGTACCTCAGTGAAACAGACTGTTTCTCTATTTGGTTTACCCACATGATAATGAGTTAAGATCATACAGCATCAGATGAGGTATGACAGCCCATGATTAGTCAAAAGTGAATTTTTTGAGTTTTCTTGTTCATGTTAATTGATTGTCTATATTTTTTTTTTTGTTAAACTGGCTGATTTTACTTTGAGATTCCTTCTCAGTTAGTTTTATGTTCTTCCCTCAGACTTTTCCCTCCTCATCAATTGTCCCATTTGCAGTGTCTTTAGTGCAGCTCATCAAGGGTAGGCGTTTCCAAAAAGCCTTTTCTTCTAAGTTTTAGTGCCTAATTAAAGAGATGATTGCTAGGAGATTGTGGAAAACATCATTCAGAGGGTCTGTGTTGCTCTTTTCCTTACCTTCCATGCACATGTCTCAGATCAGAATTTGTGCGTAAATGGGATAGCAGCATCCCAAAATACTCCTGTGTTGAGATTGTCACAATGGACAGAACACAAGGAGACTGTGCCTGTCCTGTGCACCAGGAGATGCAGAGAAGAGCAGGACTCGAGAACAAGAGCCAGGACTGGAGAACAAGACTCAGGACTATGTGTGTTGGGAAACACACAGGAGTTCTTTCAGATTTCTGATCTGGAAGGCAAAGGCTTCATCACTCATCAAGGCATGCAGGTAAAACAAAATTGGCTATGTGAAATGCACAATGAGAGAAACTCTTAATGCCCTTAATGCATTGAGAATGTTTAATTTAAAGTTAAAAATTGTAACATCCTCCTGATAACTTTAAAGAGATATGTAGGATTTGAAATAATCTCCTTGAAGAGATTTTGCATTGCTTGCATTTGTTTCCACAGACAAAGCAACAAAAAAGGTGGAAAATCAAAGCAAGTGAAGTTTTAAAAAATGCCTTTGGAATTTAATTCCATTCTCATTGGGACAGCTGAAACTTTACTTTGTGATTTGGCACAGCATCATGATGATATTCAGTCCACCAATTCTATCCTGTGGTTTTTTTCAGCAAAATTGTGTAAATAAAGTCTTTCTCTTAGGTTTCACCTGCCGACAAAGGTGAACTCTCAGCTGGATCATATATATATATATATATATGAAATATAGAGGAACACTATTTTAACATTATTCAGTGTTCACAATAATCTTACCAAATTGCTCTTAAATTGAGGGGCCAAAATCAGATTTTCTGAAAATGTTGATTTTTTTCCCCCCGCTAAGTATCTATATAGAAAATATATTGAAAAATAGTATTGGGTGCATATTGCAGAAATTATAAGATGATTTGAGCCAGTATGTGTCAGAAAACAACAGTGTGCATAATTTCACTGTGTTAATCCATTTCTACCTCAGTACTTATGGATGAAGGAGAATTGGGGAGTGGGAGCAAATAAATTCAGCATGAAGTACTACCAACTGAAACACCTAATGTAAAATTTAGAAACCTTCCATATCCTCAGAAAAAAAGATGTGTCTGCATATAAGAAAATACAAGTGAAATGCTTTTAACTACCTATGTTGGAAAAGCAAATATCTCACAGTAAATTGCTCGGATTACTAGCTCGCAAGAGCTTTCTGTGCAGTTGTGTGTGTTGCTGAATTTTGTGATGACCTGTGCTAATTCTGCAAAGTTGAAATACTGATAATCTTAGTAACAATGCTAAGTGTGGCCCCAGTTCATCAAGTAAATTATCCTCAGGGAATTTAATGGAGAAAAATATTGGTACATTCTTCACAATCTCCTTTTTTTTTCCCCGCCCCCCCAAGAAAATGCAAGTAACAGGTGTTTTCTCCTGCAAAACGAATATAATTCCATTCACAATTTGAACCCAGCACTCCAGCTGTTGCTGGAGAAGCCTATATTAAACAGTCAGGTTTGCAGCAAGACCCACAAACAGTTGTACTGGAACCGCAAGTTGGTCTGTTTATGACATGGTCGGAGAGGACAGCCGGTTATCAGGGAGCACTCCTTCAGCATGTGCCAGAGACCTGGCGGTAGGAGTACAGTTTCTGTTTCTGAGAGTATAAAGACTAATTTGTCCGTAGTACCTTCTCCCTTACCAGTGCCACGCAGGCTCTAAGAATTTTACAAGAAAAGCAAATTTTAAAAAGTTTGCCTTTTGATCAAAGAGATTAAAATCTAAAGCCTAGGGTAGACGGGTGTATTTAAGTGGGAAACTGAAAATAGTGTCTCACTGAAGTAACATACTTAGACTGCATGTACACCAAGATTTCTTAGTTTTTTGGAAGCAGGCAGAAATGCACAATTAATCCTGCTCAGAAATCCCTTCGGGATTATTCCACGTAGTTCTGTCCTTTAGAATCTCTCTTGCTTTCCCTTCTGAAGATCACCTTGGAATTCCTTTTTCTGTCCTTCTCTCCAATTTACACAGAGTTATAATGCATACCCTAAACCCTTTGTTGCAGCTAGCAAAATCCTGGTTAATGCACTCGGGCAATTCTTATCTTGGCTGTATTGCCTGGTATATTTAATAGTGGTTTAATTGTTCCTGGAATGCAGGAGAGACTTTCCTTGGCCCTAAATCCCTTCCCCACAGTGGAGCAGATTAACACTTTTGTTCTGATGAACTTTATCAAACTATTAGCTTGCAATTTTACTATGTTGTATATACAGTAGGAGTTCAGGGAAGGGATTAAAATACTAACTAATACAGCAGAGGACTCTTCACCAATGTATATATACTATTTTGCCCCACAGTGGAGCAGATTAACACTTTTGTTCTGATGAACTTTATCAAACTATTAGCTTGCAATTTTACTATGTTGTATATACAGTAGGAGTTCAGGGAAGGGATTAAAATACTAACTAATACAGCAGAGGACTTCACCAATTCACTATTTTGCTTCCCAAGCTGAGGAAGGGTTTTACTCTTCCTAATGCTGTCTCCCAGTGGAAATCCTTGCTATTGCAGATGCTTGCCACTCAGTTCCCTCCTACTTCTTGGAAACTGTCAATACTGTTAAAACAATTACAGTAAAACTATTAGGGCCAGATTTAAAGATTTTTCTTTTTTTCTTAATGCCTGCCTTTAGATTCTCAGGAAAAAATAAGTGATTTTGTGGAGCTGGTTTCAATGGCGTTTTGTGGGGTTTTTTGGTGTGAGCACGCTGCATTTCAGAAGTAGACAGCCATGAAATACATTTAACTCGTTACAGGAACAGCAGGTTTGCTCCTTGGACCATGCAGCTTCCTTAGCTTCGATTTATTTATTTATTTACTTACACATTTTAAAGCATCTTTAATTAGGACAGTATACTCTCTATAATGTTCTTGTTTAGAGAGTCTCTTGCTTGATGAGCAAGAAGGAGCGAGGCATACAGTTCTGCTGGCAAGTTTGTCCAGCTGCATGATAACCAAGCCATTTCACCAGGATGTTGAGACTCCACCTCAAATTCTACCTTTTCCCTGTGTGATTGGAATCCATGTCACAAGGAGATTGTTTTCACTGCTTTGTCGTAAAGGATTCAAAAAGGCAAGTAATGAAGTCATAAAAGCAAATCTCTTTCAGTTGAAGTTTTTTTACTCTGTGATATATTTGAATTTTCACTCTGGGAAACAAAAGGACCTATCTTTTATGTATTATGGATATTCTGTAAAATATAGTCTTCCTCTCATCCTGTAGTACTGGGTAAAGTTGCTGCATGTTTTGTCATTCCAGAGACTGCATCCTGAGTTACCTCTTGGCCTGGAAGAGCTTCACAAAGTTTTTGTTACGTTGGATGCTGATGGCAACGGCTCCCTTACCCCAAAGGAGTTCACCACAAGATTCAGTGAGTTTAGAAAGCATGTCTCCTGTATAGAGCTGCATTCATATTCGATACTCTCCACATCAATAAAAAAACATTTTATCTTAATAGTAAACTTAATGATGTACACAGGGAGCCAGACTATTCCCTAGATATAGCAGATAAGTGTAACAGATGAAATGGTCAAATTATGTCTATAAATAGGCAAAGGGCTCCAGGGTCTTTCTGTCCTGTGTGAGGTGGCAAGCCATGGTGCAATAGGAGATGTGATATAACCATCTGAATCACACCTGCTTTAAGCCACGGAGTAGGTCTATGAACAAATTATAGAAAATCTTCCTTGGGAGAAAAAAATCTTGTGTTTTATTTCATATCAGGTCATAAGACCTGATAGGATAACGTAAGACAATGTTGAAAATGTGTTAACACCACTGTCCTTACAGCAGTAGGAATGCCATCGACAAGAAATTAATTCTCAAGTGATGTTACTTATTTCAAAACAAAACAGGAGAAAACAATTATTATTACTGCATGATGGGAGCTGACTGGTTCTTTGTAACTGCCTGTTTTGCAACAGCATTCTTACAGTCATGTTCCCTGTGTTTGTGAAAGGTTGTTTTCTCCCCAGCTGTGAAGTTCCAGATAAGATGACAATGGAAGTTAGTGAGACTGTGATTGGTTGTTTATGCAGATTCAGTTTTGTACTTAAATTTTAGCTCTGCTAACTATAATCATCAGGTTTAAGCATTTCCTTTAGAAAATATCATCTCTTTTATCTGTGAATTGTAACATTAAATCTCCATTTAAATACTATGTGTAGGCCCAGTAAATAGGACCTTCGTATTTGTTTGCAAATCATCAATAATTTCTAATTTTAATTCTCTCATGTTGCACCTCTCCCATTTTAGAGCTAGATGAAATATCTTAATAAAGAGTAAGCCATGGCTCATCTTTCTGTTCATTTGCCATGCCTCATCTTTCTGTTTCATTATGTTTCCTTTTCTTGTACACAAGTATAGGTGTTTCCCTCACAAATTACATTTACTGTAAAATTTGATCTTTAGTATGTTGCTTTTCAATAATATTGCTTCTTATAGTAAATTCTGAAAGTGCTAACGTGTAATTTCTAATTCTTACGTCACTTTCTTCTGGAGCAGATTGCTTTGAAAAATGAGATGATGCAACACTTAGAAGGTGAAACAGCCTGCCCATTTAAATGTGAAGAGAGCATGAGTGATGATGAGGATGAAGAATTCCAGTTCTCAAATCTGATACATCTGCTTGGAGCTAAAAAGGTTTCGAACAAGTTAGTCTTTACAGCAATAGTAATAGATTGTATGATCTGTATGATTCTGCTGTGGGTTTGATTTTAATGGAATCCAAGATGAATGACGAGAACCAAGGCTGCTCAGTAACACAGTGATTCTTAAAAAAATTAATTTTTTTTAGAATCAGGTTTAAATTGAAAGCAGGGAGGTTTAGATTAGATATCAGGAAGAAGTTCTTCCCGGAGAGGGTGGTGAGGCACTGGGACAGGTTGCCCAGAGAAGCTGTGGATGCCCCATCCTTGGAAGTGTGGAATTAGAATTGGTTGAAAATGAAAGTAGACAGTACACATGCAAGTAGTTAACTTGTCTGAGTAACTTAGGAGACTGAGTCTCATTCATTTCTCAGGAGGGAGTGTTTTTTCTTAGCTTTCCCACTGCCCTCTCCCCCCTAGATTTGTGGGAACTTCTTTACTTCTAATAGAAGTGCCAGGATGGTACAGTGTCTGTCATCTGTCTTTCTTATCCGTTCCCATTTAGATGTTGTATCTGGTAAGGCACCCACTAAACAAGCAGTTCCTATGACTCTCTGCAGTCATCCATAACAAAACTTTATGATGCTTTTGAATAAATGCAATTTTCATCATTTTCCGTCCACCTCATCCTTTTCAAATCCGGCACTGCTTAAGTAGCTCTTGTTTTTAACAAACCTTGTGTTCTGACTAGTGATACCCTGAAGTCTTCATCCACTAGGAAGGGTTCTGTGAACATTAATTGCAGCCTGAGAAATGTTCTCTCTTAATGATTCCTTTATGATCTCTTCTTTCAGTCAGAGTGATGTGAAGCAACCTTGTTTGCAGCTGAGAAAAGACAATCCTCATTTACTTTCCAGTTTTGAAGAGTTCCTGTTCAGAATTTTTTCTGAGCTCCAAGAAGTAGGTAATGAAAAGAACAGTTTGGAATGTGTTCTGGAAAGGTTAATACTTCTTTTTGTTAGACTGTGCGTGTAGTTTTACAACTATCTTACCTACTGTTTGAACCTTTGTAATTAAGAAGATATTTCAGTGAAGAATTGAGGACTATAATTACGAGTTTTCAAAATGTAAAATTTTATTAGTCATGAAGAGTACCAGTAAAATTATTTATAATGCAGAACTGGCTGAAATTAGCTTTTCCAGTTACATATTTTGTTGACAGAATTTTTTTTGCAGATGTCTATTATAGGTGTCTATGCAAAATGTCTGTATAAGATTTCTATTATGGATACTTATGTGAGCACAAATACAGGGTGAGCAGAGAATGAATTGAGAGCAGCCCTGAGGAGAAAGATATAGGGGTGTTGGTTGATGAGCAACTCAACATGAGCTGGCATTGTGTACTTGCAGCCCAGAAAACTAACTGTACCCTGGGTTACACCAGAAGTGTGACCAGCAGGTCAAAAGAGGCAATTCTAGGAAAAAAATGTTGGTAACTTTTAAATAGTCTTGAAGACTTTGCATATTGTACTGTCTACTGCTTACCCTCTTACAGATACTAGTACTTTTGTCCTCTGAACATGTACATTATGGCACTCTGCATGCTTAGTGCATGACTATTTTATTACTTAGTAACAGGCCATATTTTTTTCTAGCATTAAAGATCTGCTTTAGTATTTCAGGTAAACTGACCCACTCTGTTTGTCAGATATTAACCTCACCTCAGTTTTATATTTTATTTTAAGCAGTTAAGATGATTGTGGGAGAAGAAACTTAAAACCTACTACTTTATGTCTTAGTTAACGAGTTTCCACAAAGATTCCTAACAAGCTATCAAATATATTCCTGATACATTCACAGAGAGGTCTATCAATGCATCATACATATTCTGTGCCAATATAATCATGGACTTTTTCCTTTTAGGTGATCTGTAATTCAGGTTCAGTGAAACAACAGCTGAAATACTGCTGATGACTTTTTACAAAGAACTGAATACACTTTAGGAAAACAAAGCAAGTGGCTACATTTTTATCCCAGAATTGGTATTCTTCTCCTCGATGGCGTTTATCATCGTAAAGGAATTGATGATGAGCTGTTGCCTATACTTGTAGATTTTAAGGCAAAATAAAAATTTTAAAGAGGTTTAAACCCTCTCCTTTTAAAAACACTAATTTGCTTCATTATTTCTTTTAATTTAAACAAAAACGAGAGACTTTTACTCCAGTAATATATCAACCCAAATACTGTACATATATATCTGGTGTGGTGCTGGAATCAGCAAAAGCAAAACTGCACTGAAAGTGTGGGCTGGTTTGGCAGCTATACAGTTGATCTAATTTTTGTTTGCCAGTGTAAGTTAGTTCTCCTTGATTTTCTGATATTTATATTTAATTTTAAGTGCTAATTTAAAATTAGATGGCTTCTTAAATTTAGCAGTGGTGTTTTTTAAATAATAGGGTGGTGTATTGAGTGGGCAAAAAAGCTGTAGATTAACTTCATTGCAGATAAATATAAGGAAGATAAAATAATTTGTCATGCTTACGGAGTGCTGAGCTTGGAACGGGCAGTTGCAACACTGGAGAAAGCCCCTAGGGTCATTGCAGACAGCTTCCTTAAATTGTTAGTTCAGAGTGAAATGGCAGCCAAAAAAACCCAGAAAAATGCTATGCATGATCAGGAAGGGTACTGAGAACATGACATGTTCTGGAAAGCAAGTTTTTGCTACCAAATAGAATCTTGATGCACCCACATCTTGAGTACTGAGTGAAGTTCTGGTCTCTGCAACAAAGAATGCAGTGGAATGAAGAAAAGTAGAGAGAATGACAAATCGGTAGTGAAAGGAATAGAACAGCTATTCTGAGAGAGCTATTTTTAAAAGGTAGGATCTCTTGAGTGAGGAGGTAAAGGCTGGAGTGAGATAAGATAGACTTTTACAAAACCATGAGACCACTAGCTAGGCTGAATTCTGTTATCCTTCAAACCCCTAGCAGTAGAACCAAGGGGCATTTAATAAAGCTAATAGGAAGTCGGCTTAAAACAGATGAGAAAGAGACCTTTTTCTTCTAATAGCAGATAAAATATTCAGCTGCCATTAGCTCTGTCTGCTCTTGTGCTTTGCGTTTGAAAGGCAAACCTAGTATAAGAAAAAAGAAGAACCCTAGAATGTTCTCTGAAGTCTTGTAGGCAGAAATGTGGAGCTTAGCTCATAATGTGAGCCATGACTTGAAGTAATGCTGCAAACACCCACTTAATATACTTTTATCTCTTATTAGGAAAATTGCTGCTTATGATGAAGAAATTAAACATCTCTGTGAGGAAATGGAACAGCAAATCAAAAAGGAGAAGAAACAGTTTCTCTTGAAAGTGCGTGTCTCATTGTTATTGTGGGAGTGGATTCTGCTCCCACTTCCAGTGAGACTCATTATGGGTGTGAAACAAAAGCCCACAAAATGTGTTTCAAAACACAGTAAGAAAAAGCATAGTTCACCTTGCTACTGCTTTTGTACTGATCCAAGCTCTGCAACTTCAAACTACGTGACTTGTTGGACGAGAGGAGCACTGATGTCCTGTGCTCAGTGGTTGGCATACACTAGCAGGTGGCATTCTTTTGAAAGTCAACAGAACTACAACCTCATTGTATTGTCGATGCTTAAATAAGTCCAACTTCCCGTCACAGTTAGGAAAAATCCTCTTTGAGGTGGTGGAGAGCAGCACTAATCCTGTTGAGTTCTGCAGTCTCTGCTTTTGAGAGGGAATAAGTTCTCACTGAAGAGATAAAACAGATAAACCAAACTGTGGTAATTTCTGAAACCATCACAGCTATATGCAAAATAAACATAGGTTGGATTGTCTTGACGATGCCATGGTGCTTCCAGAAAAACTGACAATGATTTCCCTTTTCTTACAAAGTCTCAACTTTTATTGTCTGTCCTTTGGATTTGTCTGTCCTGTTTTTTTCTAAAGACAAGGAATCTAACAAGAGCTCTCAGTATACTCCAGGAAAGAGTCATCTTAGAATCATTTAGGTGGGAAGGCATCTATGCTGCTCCTAACATTCAAACTACATCAGGTTGCTCGGGAACTTGTGTGAGTTTTGAGTACACAAATGATGGAGATTCCACAGCTGCCCTGGGTGGCCTGGGACAACCAATCATGAGCTACTGGCTTTTTTTTTTTTGGTCTTGACAGCAGTCATATAAATGAAACCAATATATGGTTTCAAACAATGTTACACAAAGTGTTGCCAAAACTAGTGGACATCCATCAGTTATTGCCTCCATTCTCAATCAAATATGATACCTAAAATAAAATCCTTTTATGATCCATATATGTTTCCTGACATGAAGTGTGTTAGAGCAAAAAGATTCCTGTCTAAGGAATCAGTCTTTTCACTTGCCTCACAGAGTAGTGAACCTGACTCATAAATTTCAAGTTCTTTCCATTCCAAGCTGAGAACAGTCTTTAGTGTTGGATGAGATGAACCCTTTATATAAAGTTCATTTGTCAGCTGAAGGATAAAAAGTATTTGCAACTTTGCCTGACAGCAGTTGTTGTATGCTCTTAATAGCTCACAACTGAAGTCACATTGAAATACCTAAAACAATTCCTTTTCCATAAGATTGCTGGATCTCCTAATTAGTTGTATATTTGAGGTAAAGCCATTTCTTTCAAGCTTTTTTCATTAAAGCTCCCACTGAAGCTATTTACAGTGTAGTCATCATTCACACTAATGGATGTCACACATGCAAGAAGTATTGTTTCTTGGCATGACTAATTTGGGATTTGGGGAGACCTGACTGTTAAATTCTTTCTCTAATGCAAAGTCTCACAAACCCTGCAGAGATGCATTGATGCCATATAAAAGAGAAAATATTATGGCTTGAATGAAGAGCAGCTCCTGAAGAACACATTTAAAGAAATTGGTAATATGCAAATAAGTACAGATTGTAGCTATTTAAGATACTTGATATCTTGCTGAGTAGAGGTTGTACAAAAGGGGCAGTTAGCTTGTTTTTTCACTTGGATATATATATTCTTTCACATAAGAAGCCAGTTAACATGCATTTGATTACCCTATTATGTGTACTGCTGAAGGGAAAAAGCATGTAGGAACCACTGCTGTCTTGAAGGAGTTATTTTTGTTTAGAGGCGTTTTCCTGGGGACCGTTGAGAGTAGAAGACACTTGTGGAAGAAGGACAGATTCTCAGCAGATATGAACTGCTGGAACATGATTTTCCTCAGGGAAGACCTGACAATTTGTCTCGTCTTAGAAGTGTCTGAAGGAGTAATCCCAAATAGGACTGGGAGTTCCCAGTGTCACATCCTATACAGAGAGGCGGGAGAAATGGCTCAGATTCACTGATTCCCTCAGTTGGAATAGGGTATATACAACACCTGAGGTCTTTGAGTAAACAAAACCTTTTATTCCAAAGTTGGGCTCATTGGTAAACAATTGGGTAGCAGAAATGCTTATTGCTCGCCACGCATGTGGGGGGTTTATGCCTTGCGTTACTTACTTGAAAAAGATAAATGGACAAAAGGAAAGGGAAAAGGAGGAGAGTGGGAGAGAGAGATCACCGGTCTGGGATCCAGCACTGGTCAAGCCAACGGGGGTCTCTGTCTGTAGCAGCGCTCATCCAGAAGTTCCCATTACATGGCACTTGTGCTCCCCTTTTATGTTTGTTGCTTTGTGCGGACCACCCCTTTCAGGAAAGTTTAATTTCTGGGATGTTGAGGGTTTGAGACACCTCTCAGTAGGACCCAGGTAGTCTCCACTCCCCCCGTGTGCACAGGAGGGAGCAGCTTTGCTGAAAGCAGGGCTGACCTGTCTCCTCAAGGTTCCCTCCATACCTGCATCCTCTGATGGACCAGACAAGTCTCCACCACCTTGGGGTGCACAAGTTTTGCCTCTGTTCATCAACTCTCTTATCCTACCGCTCTTAGAAACAGTTCTGTGTTTCAGGGATTACAGATTGATGAGTGCCAGGCTGGATGGCTGCACTCAGAGAGT